CCCAGGCTCTGAATTCAAGCCCCAGGACCAGTACTAAAACTAAACAAAAGAAAACAGGATTCTGCTGGGAATAGCCTGCCCTATAGTAGATATACATGATTTTAGAGCGAGCATGTTATGTCTCAGCTTACTTCTGGCTAAAGTCCAACCTTCTTCTTCTACCCTCCTTATCTGATAAACTTGTTTTTCTCTTTCATGTAGTTTGAATGTGTAGGTCATTAATAATCAATATTCATTTCTGCTTTATAAACTTCTGAAAATAAAGCTTTTCCGTGATAGGACAATGGGCCCACGGAGCTCATCTAATGTGTATTGGTAAATTAGATGTGATGGAATTGCAGTTCATGCAACCTTTGCTTTCTGGTTAACTTCATCTGCAACAAACTTAGACTTTAATTGCAGTTTACATGATAGCTATCTGTCAGATATTACTAGATAAGAGTACACAGTTCATTTGATGGGGGAAGACTAGAAAATCTGGGGCCCAGGCCTTGGCAGAATGTGAAAGGTAGTCTTTTTTTAAACAAACAATGTCATCACAATATGCATCAACAAGAACCAATCTTTACACGCAGGATGGTGTTCCGGATCACACATATGCGAGTTCAGTGAATTATGAGTTATAGGTAAACCCTTGAGGGACAAAGGTATGGTGATTTTCTTATTATTTGAAAATATCTTTCTGCTAAGGATTGTTTTTTGCTATGGGGGGTCTTTTATTGTTCCATATGAATTTTTGGGTTGCTTCTTCTATTTCATTGAAGAATGAGGTTGGACTATTGATAGGTTAACACACTGAATTTGTAAAAAGCCTTTGGAAGTATTGTAAGCCTGGCCCAAAGAAACATAGGTCCCATGGTTTCCCTTATTTGCAATAACTAGTATATGTCTAGGACAAACAGAAGGTCAAAAGCTATGTATATATGACCATATAAGATGATGCTAAGCAAAATGAACCCCAATATAGGGACACGAGTGGTTTTATCTTTCTTGCTATTGTTTATAATGTATTTATAATGTACTATGTGATTTTTTTGTTTCTTTTGTATGTTATTCCCCCATGGTATAACCCCTGTTTTCACTGTATTTGATTCTGGTGCCCTGAATCTTGTATATACATTTTTCTAATTTGGGGAGGAGAAGGGAAATAACAAACTGCTGAAACAAGGATACAGGTTGATCCATTGTAACCATGAGATGTACAAGACACTATGCTGAAATTTACAACTGGGGGGGAGGGAGGAGTTGGAGTGGTGAGGAGGGAAGGGATGGTAGGGCAAAAACAAAGGAGGGGTAACAATGCTCGATAGGAAATGGACTCATTACCTTACTTGTGTAACTGTAACCCCTCTGACCAGTATCTTTACAATAAAAATATATAACTAAAAAAAGAAAATATCAAGCTGTGTTTAAAAGCCATAAATTAAATGTAAGCATTTATAGAATATATTAAAAAGAAATATGGGGTTATATACATATATAATTTTTGGGGTTATATATATAATTTATATATATATAAAATTTTAGAATAAAGATATATATATAAACACATATTATATATATATAATACATGAACTCAGCACCACAATCTTTTCTAAAAATGAATGATAACTGAACATGTATTAACTAGAAATCCATGGTTTGGAACTATGCCACCCTTAACTTTTGCTTCAGGCAAGTCAATTTTGCACTGTGGGTAGACTGCAGTTTCAAATATTTATTTTACCTGATATTAATGAATACACAGAAATGAACCACAAAGGGAAATATTCTAACCATATCCCTTCACCTTCTCATTTAAAGGTGATTTTGAATTCCTTGAAAACTTTGACCAATACATTTTTTAAAAACAGTGATGTTATCTTCCTTAATAATAATAACACAGAGTCTCATGATCTGTGACAGAAGGATTTTAGTGGATGGGATAATAGGCTATGGACATTTCCTTGAGGCCTGATCCTATGTTTTGGCAATGCTGGAAGGCTGTCTCCTCTTTCCTGGAATTGCCCTTGGGTGAAGAAAGGCTGCCTTGATCCGGAGCACACAGGCTGGTGGGGAGAGATGAAAGGAGTCTACATCCATCATCTAGTCCATGTGCCAGAATAAAGGCCTGTTCATCTCCTGAGCCTCCAGGTGGAACAACACTGAAACACTGTTCAAACTCCAGGCCTCTTAAACTTGTCCTTTGTTGCATTCTCACTGCAGTTCAATTCCCCTTCCCCGCCCAACTGTGCCCCAACCTGTCTCCTTCTGTCTCCATCTAACATCCCCAAATCTTAAGGGGTAATCATCTGAAGTTAACTCTTCCTGCATGATGCTCTCTCCCCTTAACGATTTCACAGAGAATCCGCTTAAAGAGAACAAAGATTTTTAATAGCAATTTTAATAATAAACTACACAGAATTACTTATCAAAACTCTTGGCTGCAATGCTTGGTAAGAAATGTATGCATTTTCCTGCCCATGTAATTGTAACCCCTCTGTACAGTATGTTTTCAAATAAAATAAAATAAAATAAAATTAAAATTAAAAAAAAAAAAACTCTTAACTCATCATCTAGGATGTTCTAGTCTGCTAAGCTCTGCAAAGATAGAAAGTTATTTAACATGGAATCTGAGATCTCAAAGAACTGACTGGCATGAGACACAACATTACAATAAAATTAATATGGCCCAAATTGGCCTAGCATTGTGTTAGAAGGATGGACAAACTCTCCAAAAATTTATACAAATACTATCCTGCATCCCTGTGGAAGGAATGATTTGAACATCTCATAGAAATCCTTCAAAGAGCTCAGGTTCTGCAAAAGGCTCAAATGATTGACCCTTCTTTACCTCTCTTCCTAAACATCTCATAATACAAACTCCTGTTCTTTTATTCTATCTGACCAGCCTTGCAGATGGATTCAGTTGTCAGCTTCCTCAGGAAATCTTCCCTTGACCACTCTCCCTCTTATCAAAGATTCCATTTTTCTACTTTGTTTTACTTCAGAACACACAGTGTGCTCATACTTAATCATTATTTATAATGATGTATATGATTTATAATGAGAGTTGGACTTTCTTCACTAGCATCTAGACTCTGTACTCAACACACTGTCCAAGAACAGAGTAAACACTCATTGTTTGTTTGTTTTTTATAATTATGAAGGAAAGTCAGGCACAGGTGAAACCCTTAGGTAAGAACAATAGTTGAGAGACCTGGGAATGAGAATATTTCTAACTTAGGATATCCAGCATTTAGAAATCTTTAGAGGCCATAACTGGAAACACGGGTTGGACATGTAGACAATGAAATGTGGTTGATAAAAGCTGAGCTTTATCCCTTTCCTCAACAACTCTTTTATTTTTTTTTTTCCTTGGGACTTGAACTCAGGGCCTGGGTACTGTCCCTGAACTCTTGCTGTAGGTTAGTATTCTACCACTTGAACCACAGTTCCGCTTCTGGCTTTTTGATCATTGCTTTGAGATAAGAGTATCACAGACTTTCCTGCCTGGGCTGGCTTTGAACCTTGATCCTCAGATCTCAGCCTCCTGCGTAGCTAGAATTATAGGCCTGAGCTACCAGTGCCCACCTCCTTCCCTCAATTCTTATGTTGAATCACTAACCCTCAGTACTTCTGGCTGTGGCTATATTTGGGAATAAGACAGTTAAAGAGGTAACTCATTTAAAATGAGGTTGTTAGGACAGGCTCTCATCCAAGTTGATGTGTGTCCTTATGAGAAGAGGAAATTTGGATGCACAAACACTGGAGATGTGTGCACAGAGGAAGAGGGCATGGGATTTAATGAGAAGGTTCCATCTGCAAGCCATGAAGCAAAGCCACTGGAAAACCCAAGTTGGCTGAAATCTTGATGTAGGACTTCTAGCTTTCAAAGCCACAAGGAAGCAATTTTTGTTGCTTTAAGCCGCTCTGTGTCTGGTATTTTGTTAAGGAATTTTGATTTTAATACCACAAGTCTCTGTGATGTGGGAAATGATGGTGGTAGGGAAATAAGACCTCTAATATTAGGAAGACATCAGTGGTGATAGCATGGTGGAAGAAATGAACAGAGAAAAGACTTGAGCCATGGGGCCTAGGAAGGGTTTCTGATTGTTCACATCTAGAGGAAGGAGAAGAGACGTGAGAGGTGAGTGGAAATTCAGGGCTGTTTCTGAGTCAGTGCTGAGACTCAGTGACATGGTACAGAGGTGTTAACTACAAAATGGAACTTAGTGAAATATAGAAATGGGAAGAGATTCACAGAATAAAACACCTGAATTTCAGTTGTTGCCTCTTACATGAGCAAGTTTCTCAACATGGAACCCTAGGATGGGTGGGAGGGACTCTCTTCTTCCGGAGGTGAACAGTGCTCACTCAAAAGATTGTGTAAGAGCAGAAAACTTATCCTTCCTGGAGATCATGTACAAATGAGCCCATCCAGGGCTTGGAGAAGGCTGTCAATGAACAAACATCTGCCACTTTATCCAAAACATGTACTGACACTGATTGGATTACAAACTTCCCCACCCCACCCCACCTCATACATCTTTGTACTGTGAGGCACTTGAGAAAACAGGACCTGGTGTGTTCCAACCTCGAGAACAGTTCCAAAGCAGAGAATCTTGACCTCAGATATCTCTGTTTCCAGTGGGAACACTATTCAACATTACCCTAGGAGACTGGCAGACTCAACTCAAGAAAGGAATATGCTTGTTTCTCCCCTGTCCTGATTGCCAGCAGATTTGTGTGTGTGGGGGGGGGGGGGGGTGGGATGCAATTGTTTTGGAAGAAGCATTGATTCTTTCAAGTTCTTAGAGGACAAACACTCAGTGTCTTAAAAGTAACTGAAAAGGAATAGGTAGCTCAATTTCAGAATGCGGGGAAAAGTCTTTACCCAGGAAATTTGACCAGGGTTGCTGTTTTTTTTTAAATTTTTGATGGCAGATCAACCCCACTCTTAATCTTCCCTACATTTGCATCAGGTCCTGAACCCAAGTTGGGCATGGGCAGCGACTCACAGGCAATGCGCACGTAGGCTTTCCGGCTCTTTGTGGTGCCCGCAGAGCTCCAGGCCACACACTGGCACCAATAGTCTTCGGGCCCAAACAGTTCTTCTACTTGCTGCCTTGAAATCTCAATGCTCACTTCCCGCACAATGAGACCTGAGGAGAAGAAGGAAGACTCAGTCAAGAGAAGACTTGTACTGAGAACCACAAAACACGCCATGTGTTTTCCCCTAAATGATCCTTATGGATGTCATAGATCAACACCTTGTCTCTCATCCTCTGGCTTTCCTTTGGCTCCAGTCACTTTGCTTCAACCATTTTTTTTTTCATTCTTTGATTTGCTATTTCGAATCTTGTAGATTCAGGCTAACGATGAAAGTGAAGTGGACCTAGGACTCTATGTAATAAGAGTGTTTCTCCCATATAGTATATTCAAATGTATTCTTCTATTTCACATCTTCTAAGGATTCTGCTTCAGTTATATAGGTTGTAATTAAGATAGCCTGGCACTGTTAATAGCTTTATAATGGCTACATTGTTCTACTTATTCACATAGGACAAGAGAAAATAAACTAATCATCATAGTGATAATTTAACAATGAACAGTTGTGTTTCAATTGTACTAGCACATACTTTTTTCTTAAAATAAATGCCAGCCTCAGTTGACAAACCTCTAGTATGCATCCTACTCAAAGAAATATGATTTCAATGTTTCCATGCTTAATAACATGAAAGCCAACTGTGTCTCTGTATTTGCAATGTCCTGTTAAAGATAAAATGCCTCCAACTACAACACTGAAAGAACTGGAATTTATTTCACAGTATTATACAATCCTGAATAACAAACATTGAAAACAAGCCATGGGATTATCATTTCAGGGATATTTATCTTAAGGTATTGTGGCTATTTCAGAGATTTGTTTTTCAGTGTGCGTTTTTCCATTGAGTAAGAGACATGATCTGAGTAATCTATGTGGGCAAATGCCAGCTCTCCTGGAGACTGAATAGACACATTTCCAGAATGGAATGTCCATGAAGAGAACTAGCAGAAAACCAAGAAGACAAGAGAACTTGTTTGAGGCCAAATATAGACACAGTAAGAATGATAAAGTGAATTGCCTTCTACTCTATCCATTTACTCACTTAGTATTTTTAATATAGTTTGTTATTGTAGAGGTGATGTCATAAGTCAGGTAACAATTACATTTCTTTCTGAACCATATCACTCTTTCCCTCACTCTCTCCCAGATTTTTCCTCCCATCCCCACCACAAGTTGTATAGTTCATTTTCCACATAGTGTCTAGTAAGTACCACTGCTATATTTGTTCACCCTTTGCCCACCTTTTCTTTCCCCCGTCTCTTACCCTCCCAAAGTCAGATAAATGAACAAACAAGACAAAAGGCAAAGACAACAGAAACAGCAGCAGCAACAAAAATCTTTTGTTTCCATTTCTTGGAGTTCATTGCGAAAAATATTATTTTATATGATCAGAGATTCACTTATTCTTTGAATAAAATTAATATTAGTGACTTGAAAAGATAATGGTGGTAGGCACTTGGGAACTAAAGCAGAATAATGATCACTCTCCATGAACTGTGCTAAGGTCAGCTATGCATTGTGAAGAGGGCTGATTTTAACAATGAGTTATACTGTTGTTCAGTGTTGCCAAGGAGATTCATAAGGGAAAGAGCAAATAGCAAGAAAACTCAGTTTAGCATGGAGGATTCAATGTAAGTTAGTTTGGAGAGAGGGATAGTAATATAGAAAGAAGTAAGAAAGAAAACTAGAAGCTGAGAATCCAAGTGAAAAACAGTAAGCTCTGGACGCAAGAAATAGTGACATGAGACCATGGTAGAGACGGGAACAGTTCAGATTGCTCAGCCCCACAGACCAGTTCTCAACACATGGCTCCTAGAACCATTTCAGCACGATCCCCAGGGATCTCTTGGAGATGTGCGCGCTCAGTCTGCCCCCAGAATCCTTAGGGAAGAAATTTCGGTTTGGAGTTATCAACTCATGGAATTTTAACAGTCCCTCCAAGTAATTCTAATTCATGTTACATTGGGGCTTTTTTGATCACAGTGTTTAACAAGATTCTGGCTTTGTTCCTTGATAGTCGTGGACATTGATGAAGTATTTTCAGATAATATTTATTATGGTCAGATATACCTCTTGAGATAGATACATGAGTGTGCATATATATATATATATATATATATATATATATATATATATAGTTGTGCAAACACATGAGTATATATATCATTTCCTTAGAGTTTATACAAGCTTCATAAAGTTATATTTAAAGAAAAAAACGTTTGATTGTAGGTGACAGAAGTATGCCTTCTGGAAATTCTAAAACATGGTAAACCATAACATTCTCTAACATATGTTCAGCTGAGTAAGAATATCCTGGGAAATTAACAGAAGTAGCTACTGTCTCGTGAGAAAATAAATGGTATTTTATGCCAAGTTCTGATGGTATTTTGGCCATAGAAATTACTAGGCCCCACACAGGAGCCTAGGAAAATGGACTTCGTAATTCTAAAGCAGAACAAGATTTCAGAGGAGACAATTGTCTGGTCCAAAATTTATGAAATATATTAAAGAAATATATATTGTGAAAATGAACAACTCTTCTAGACTCATAAAAAATCCAGAATAAAATTTTATAAGCAAATGGTATATCCCAACTCCTCACTCTTCTAGGGAAAAATGGAATTATTATTTTAGCTAAGATCCAATTATCACAATAATTTTCACAGCAAAGTTTGGAATCTTTGCTAGTACTACTAGCAAGTAGTCCTTCTTTGATCTCTCTTTTGTAGGCCCTATCTCTTTTTTTACCCTATTGCAGTTTTTCTCATCACCTCAGTATTTGGAGATCTACGTCTGTGGGAGGAGGGGGTACAATTCCTCTAAATCCGTCTCCTTTTTTCCCCTCCCTTTTACCTTTTCCCCCTATTCCCTGGTGTTTAATGTTCTTTTGCCTGTGTGACTTGTTTATATATTCCCTTCTCATGCAGAAATTCAGTTACTGGAAACAAAACTCTTCCTTTAAGTTGGATACCAGAAATTTACAGTCACCAAAGGTCTGATAAACAGTTAGTGTATATTTCCTTCGAACAAGAGTGGTCCTTTCTAAAACGCAGAACAGCAACAAACGGGTTCAGGATATGAAAACCACATACAAATATTTTGCATCCCCAGATGATATAACCTCAGGTTTCATCCCCCTTTTTACTTAAAAGCAATTACAGGAAACCGAATTAAATGCCACTGCAGCCACACTCGGTCCACTGTATATTTTAGCCCACAAGTCTGAAGCCTTTTAAGAAGCCACAGACCCAACTCTCCTATAGCAGCAGCTATTCATAGTATGAATGTTCTGACTTACGTGGTCCAGGATTCTTGTGGGCTTTGAAGTTAAAAACACACACTGAATTTTGCCTTTAGCTTCACAGACACCTCATTCAGGAGGAGATGGGTGAATCACAGTTGTGTACATTTGTTTTGTCACATGGCCTAGAGTTTATATTGGCTTAGAGTTTACATTCCAATCTTTGGTCAACAGCGCAGAGCAAGAAAGAATCGCAACATGAAGAGTCTAAACACTCAAACTTCCAATTCCCTACAATCAGCTGCATTATTCAAACTCAGCTACGTGGTAACACATACAAGTAAATTCGTGACATAACAATATTTTGCTCATTAGACCCCAGTTTAGTGTTTAGGTAAAAGTTGGTCCTACTTTTTTTTTCTCTCTGAAAGTGAAATTTCAAGTCTGCTTGAAGTCCTGAGATGGAAACAAACAGAAAAGCTTCCTTGAAATTTGAAATACCATCAACATTACTTCCAAGTCAGGCTGCTTTGAAGAGCATTTGGGAACTTGAAATTGGTTTCAGGTTATTTAAGGGTGGGGGAGAGGCTGCAATCTACCGGATTTACGAAAATACAAATGTGTAGTTTCCATCATAGCTGATAATATCAAAGATTTCCCATCATAGCGCTTCCTTTAATAGTGGCATCTCAAAGATGCATGCTGTTTGAAGTTTGCAGTGATTTGCTTCTCTAATAAGATTCATTGTGGTTTGGGAGACTGAATGCAAGAAAGTAATTAGCATGTGATAGCAAGAATCTTGTAGCACATGAGCTTGCACTTCTTAGCAGGGAGTTGCAAATAAATATAGACATCCAGATGCAAATGCAGCTTTCTGATTGGATCTCTGTGAAGTCATACATGAATACTGCAGCATAACATGGCAATCGATGTTTATACCTTTACCGTCAGCAAAAAAAATCTTTTTTTCAAAATAGTGGCCAGAATCATAAACTTAAACAGTATTCTTTGAAGCTATTTCTCTTATTTTTTGCTGTGCTAAAAGTCAAACTCAGGACCTTGTGTGTGCTTGGCAAGAACTCTACCTTTAAGCTAAATCCCTGGTCCTATTTTTCTAGGATATTATTATAAAGTGATCACAAATACATGATGAATCCTATTGTATAATTACTTTACAATGATATCTATATTCCACAGAAAGCTAAGTCACAGGTACTGAAGCAAGTCCACTAATATCAGAGATATTAAGTTGCACCAATGTAAACTAGATCAAAACTTGTACAGCTGTCTTTTACAAGTATCTTGTTGTTTAGATAAACTCAAAACTTAATACCTCCTTATTAAAACATCTTTTAAAAGTGATCATCCTAAATGAGATGCTGGTAGCCCATGCTTATAATCCTGGCTAATCAGGAAGCTTGGATCTGAGGATTGGGATTCTAAGGCAGCCTGTGCCAAACATTCTGTGAGACTTTTATCTTCCCATTAACCATCAAAAGTTGGAAATAGAGCTGTGGCTTCAGTTATATAGTGCTAGCCTTGAGAGGAAAAGCTAAAGGACAATTCACAGTCCCTGAGTTCAAGCCCAGTAATCACACACAGACACACAGACACACAGACATACAGACACACACACACACACACACAAATGAGGGCATCTTTTATAGCTTTTGATAGTATTCTGAATGTTTCACTAAAAATCATCTTAAGCCAACACTAAACTTAGATTTTATGTAAGCCTGAGCTGCAATTCTCATTCCTTGCAATAACTTTATCTTTCTCATGGTAAAGGGAAGTTTGAAGACATCATGTTG